GGCCGGGAAGAGGGAGAACAGTCATGTGAGAGGACAACGTCTATGAGAGAGGTGGAAGGGGGAAGACTGTGTAGAACTTTTAAAGATCTGACAGATGCCAGGTGCGATGGTTCATGCCTATAATCCCAGCACTTTGGGTGGCCAAGGCGAGTGGATTGCCTGAGCCCACGGGTTCGAGACCCGCCTGGGCAAATTAGCGAGACCTCGTCTCTACAATAAATCAAAAAACTAGCCGGGTGTGGTGGCGCTCGCCTGTAGTTCTGGCTACTTGGAAGGCTGAGGCCAAAGGATCGCCGGAGCCCAGTAGGTCCACACTGGGGTGGCTGTGAGCGTGCCCCTGCACTCCAACATGGGTGATGGAGTGAGACTCCAACTCCAAAAAAATTTTAGAGAGCAACATGGCAGCTTCCCGAGTGTGAGAATGAGAGGGATGAATGATAGAACTGGAGAAGTAAACTGAGACAGAACTTCAAGGTGCTCTAGGTAAATGCTCTGGCCCTCATCTTGAAGGCAGGGGAAGCCATCTTTAAGCCACACATCTTTGTCTTGAACTCATGGTCAGTCAGGACAAAAAAAAAAGCCCTGTTTCTCAGCCCCATGCAGGCTTGCACATTTTGTTCTGTTGGAGTGAACCTTAGGGCTGCGTTTGGCTTCAGAGAACATGTGTCCCTGAGCTCAGCGGCATGCGGGGAAGGAGAGAGACCACGAGCCTCAGACCCTCTCGTGTCCCTCCCATCCGCAGGAAGAAAGGAGCAAAGCAGGGAGGCCGGGGGCCTCAAGAGTGCGGAGAGTCGAGTGGCCAGAGGAGCTTTCAGGATGGGGGAGGCCAGCGCTGGAGGGAGGCCGGGCCTCCGGCTGAAGCATTCCTCAGCTCCCCCAGGCCTGGGGAAGATCCGCCCTGGCTCTCCCCAGCAGAGCAGCGGAAGAGCCAGCCCGGCCGGCGGCCCCACAGCCTCACGGCCTTCTGCCTTCTGCTTCTGCACTCCCGTGTTTGTCTTGGCTGACAGCTGCAGGGGCTTTTTGAAGCTGATTCCACCAAGGCAAAGCCGGAGAAATCAGGACGTGGGATCACAGAGGCGGGTGGAAGGGGCCTCTGATGGGGAAACAGAGGGGGTCTCGCCGTGGGTTGATGGCGAACCGAGCTGAGAGCCCAGGAAGCCCAACGCAGACACCTCAGGGCTTCCCTGGCAGGCGAGGAGCCTGACACAGAACCCAAATCCTCCGGGAAGACATTGGCACACTCCAAGGAGCCCCGGATCGTGCTGTGCCAGAAGTGTACCCCCTGTTCTTGTTTCATGACACACCTATACCCTCAGACACTGATACTCTAGCTTCCAGGGGTGCAGCCATAGCCCCCCTGGGCCTGGGCTATGCCCCACCCGTGCCAGCCTGGCAATACTCAGCTCTTCATTCAGTGCTGGCCCCCCGCCCCAGGCTCAGCAAGGACCCTCCCGCGTCCTGTTCCACACGGACGCTGGCGAGTCACGTGTCCCGCAGCTGAAGGCCTCCCCCGTCGGCCTCCGCCATCTGCTGAGGCCCCATAATTATTCCAAGGCCCAGTGCAGCCTCGCTCGGAGGGGAGAGTTCACACAGCCCTGTAATGTAACCCAGGCCCGAGGCCGCACGGGCAGGGGGTCCCCAGCTGGGTAATGAGCTAGCTTTATTGAATTCCCTGGGTTGGGGCTGACAAATCGCAGCCTTTAGTGGAGGCAGCCTGGGCTGAGCACCCCGATTCCTGCCCCTCAAATCTTTCTCCTTCCCCAGACATGCTTAAGACCAAGACCAGACCAGGAAGGCTCCCAGCAGGTTGACCTCCCCCAGCCATTGGGAGAAACTGTGACTGCTTCAGGTCTGGGGCCCAAGCAGGGTAGACCAGAGTGGGTTGCTGGTGTAACGTTGCTGGGCCACCCTGTGCAGAGTCTGCAGGCCTGGCAGATATCTCCCACCCCCACCCTGGCTCCAAAACCTGCCGACTCCTTCACCTCCCCTTTTCAGAGTGGAGGGAGGGCCTTGGCCGGGAGGCGGTGCTGTGGCCAGGCCTTTCCAAGGAAAGGTTTAGGGACTGGCCTCATCTCTAGTGCTCGCAGCCTTCTGCTCGGGCTCAGGCCCCACCCAATGTCAAGTCTGTGCAACAGCAAACCCCAGGCCTCTCCCTTCCCCCTCCTCCCCAGCGCCAGAAGGACCCCCACCCAGTGTTCACTATTCTCGCCATTGTTTTTCTCATGTTTGTTTTCTGGCCGAGGCTATGCCCTCTATGGGCAAAGATCATTGTTGATCTCCATGTGCTCAGAACTCAGCACACAGTAGGTGCTTTAAAAAACCATTTGGGGAAAGAAACAGAGACAGAGGGAGCTGGCACAGAGCAGGGCTCTTCATTCCAGCCCTGAGAGGGCAGAGGTTGGTCTGTGCTGAGCGACATGGTGTCTGAGGTGCTGCCATGGCGTCTCGGTGGGTGCCCAACACGTGTGTGGATGGGGGTTGCTGGCTGATTCGGGAGACGGTGAGTCAGCTGCGTTGTCTTGTCAAAACCCTAATGGCTCAGGAGTTGCATGTTTGGGGGCAAACCTGTGGTCAAGGGTCACCCAGAGTTCACTGTCTGGGGGTGACTTCCAGCCGTGGCAGGTCTTGAACACACCCTGGAGGGTGTGAAGGGTCTGTGGCCCTCCACATTCTGACAACAGTGGCGGCCAGAGGAGACTCTTCTGGGACAAGTCAGAGCCCTGCCCTCTCCCCCAGAGTGGCAAGAGACTGAGCTGTGCCCAACGTCCTCGGGGAAAGAGTGAAAGGCAGGGGACACCCCCAGGCCAGCCAGACCACCCCAGGTCCAGCCCAGGCTCTACCCCTGGCGGACTCGGTGGGGCAGGCCTGGCGGGAATGGGCTGTTGAGTCGTCCCAGCAAGGCCTGCCTTAGCCACTTTGGGTTTGGGGAGGGTGGGGTCCACACCACCCACCAGACAAGTGAAGGAGACAGTCACACCCACAGACACGGACAGGAGAGGGAGCCAGACCTGAGGGCCTCTGGGAGGGAGGGGCACAGAGGACTTCAAAGCACTCCCAGAGCAGCTTATAAACAAGCCGGTGGGGTGGGGCGGCCAGCAGAAGCTGAAGGGGGGCTTTCTGGAGGGGCTGGAGGCTTGCACGGGGCATGTAAAGAGACAGGCCTGGGGTCAGGCGGCGAGGGCGTGGGACCCTAGGTGGGCCCAGCCTAACCTCTGTGACTCGGTTTCCTCTCCCGCACGATGGAGCTCCCCACTGGAGCTGCCAGGGGGCCAGCAGAGATGGTGCAGGTGAAGATGCAGTGTGGGTATAGGGCCCTATCAGATGTTATTTGTTATTCTGGGCTGTGTTTTGGTGGGAGACTTGGAAAGGCTGAGAGGGAGAGTCAGAGTGATCAAGGCCCCGGTCTTCCCGGGGTGCAGAGTTCTCAGAGCAGAATCAGGACTGGAGTCCCAGGAAGGAGAGACACCCGTGGCTCCTGACAGGACCAGGATGGGCTGGGGGCTTTCTCCGTCAGCTCCAACAGTGGGGGTGGGACGGACAGGTGCCCCTGCCTCACCGCCTCTTCCCCCACCGCCCCCACCTCTACTGTGTGTCTCCCCTCCCCTTATCCCTCCAATCTCCCCTGTGGCCTCTAGTAGTCTCAAGGGACTCCCCAGAAATCAGCCTTCTCCCCTTGTCCTCCCATAATGGGGTTGTGACCGTTTTCCTCGGTCCTGCTTAGACACGTGTCACTGTCCATTTCTCTCTGTGATATCAAAGGAGGCTGTGCCAGCCACGTCTGCTCCAGGGCTGCGGGAAGGGCCCGCTCGGAGCAGCTGGAACATGGGTTTAGGAAATTACAGGGAATTCAGAGCAGCCGGCGTCGCCCGCTGCCTGGCTTCATTACCGGGACCGGCCTCGAGGGGAAGTTGATTCCAATAATTTAGAGGATTAGGATCTGACACCCTTCATGAGCAATTTGACATAAGTAGAAAAGACAAATCTTGCAGAATGACCCACACGGTGGCAAGGACTCAGCTCAGGCAGTCTGCGAGGTGGAAGGAAGGGCCGTGCCGCCTTTTACAGTCTCATGAGACGGTGAGTGATGTTCCTGAAGGCGAAGGTGAACTGGGGGAAGGAGAAGCCTGGGCTCAGGCCTCAGTATCCCCATGTGTAAGACGAGCGCACTGCTGAGGGCCTTCGAGACCCCTTCTGGTTCTGACGTGTGCAGGACCCCCAGTCTACTGTCCCCGGGACAGGGGCAGCTCCTTAAATTCTTTGTGGCACTTCTCTTCCAAGACTTTATCCGTCCCACCTCCGACCCCCCACCCCCAGGATCACCCCCCAACACAAAAACACCCCAGACTGCAGGCCGTGCCGTGGCATCCTAGATCCAAGCCACTTCCTGCCCAAAGGGAGCGAAATCTCCCCCGGCCCCTGGCAGATTCTGGCTCTCTTCCCGGCCCCTCCACAAATATAGCCCCTGATGTTTCAACATTTTCTTGTCCAGTCTGTAAAAACCAGAGTTTTGGGCTGTGCCTTGACAGCAGTTCTGACAGATGGATGGGGGAGGGGTGGCTTTAAAAGGCCCCTGCCCACACCCAGCAAGCTGGTGTCCCCATTTCCTGTGAAATGGTGGTGTCGCTGTGTGACACGGGCAAGTGGCTTAGCCTCTCTGTGCGTCTTTCCTTGAAGCTAAAATGGAGTTTGCCATGGGGATTAAATGAGATGGTGGTGCGGAGAGAGAACCTGCCGGAATGAAGAACCCAGGACACGCGAGCCACGGTGGCACTGTCACTGTTTACTGCGTGTGACCTTGGGCAAGTCGCTTGCCCTCTTCGACCACAGACCTTCTCCTCTGGGGGGGGGTGGCGAGACACTGTCTGCAAAGTGCCTGGCGCTCAGAGGGAGTCCCCGAAGAGCGGCCACCGTGGTCTTCTGCGGTGGGGGGGGGCGGCTCTGCCGTGCAGAGGATTGGAGACACCGTGACCGCGGAGGTTTCTTGGAGCCGACAAGTGTGTGGACGGAGGAGCGAGGAATGTGATCCGTCCCAGCAGCCGGGGGAGCCGGAGCTTATCCGGTATGTGTCTCTGGGATGATTTGGGGGAAAGTCACCGAAGTTGGAACATAAGACGCAAACTGCCTGGGACACGGAGACATGGAGCTGTCCCCGCGCACACCCCCCACCAAGGGACCTGGGGCCGGGGCGGGAGTCAGCTTACAGGGCCCGGCGCAGCTCTAGCCGCCCTGGAATGGCCGTGAACTTGTTGTTTTTCCACGTCATTTGCTCTCAGATGTACTATCGAGCCGGGCGATGCTAACCGGCGGCTGCAGGTCCCTCCTCGTAACAAGCGATTGTGTGTTCTTTAAAGGTGGCCGCCAGGGAGGAGGGGGCCCAGCCCCAAGGAGGTGGAGGGAAGGGAAACAAACCCGCCTTCCCAGGGAGCGTTCGTGTGGGAGCCGGCTCCCCCAAAGCACATGCCATTTCTGGCCCTCGAAGGGGTTAAAGGCCTCCTGGAGTCAAAAACAAGCAGGTGTCCCACCGTGCCAGATACGCCGCCTAAACTGCTTCCAGCTTTTTTTTTCTTCCCCTTCTGCAATAAGTCTGTGATCAGCCACGGGACAGAGGCGCCAGCAGCCCGCCTGTGACAGGCATCAGGTTAGCTCGCTCCCACTCGGGTGGAGCGCCCAGGATATAAATCCAGGCTCGGGGCCCCTGCCGCGGGTCCTCTCCCTGCACACTCAGGAGAGGGAGTTTCCTTCCAAAGACCTTTCTTTGATCAGAAGCCACACAGCCGGGCAGGCTGCACCGACTGTGGAGGCAGCCACGGCGTCTGCGGCCTCTCAACCTCAGCAAGGAAACCTGCCCGGGCGGGGAGGCCAGGTGTGCCCAGCCCCCCGGAGAAGAGGGCCCCTGGCGTTGCCACCCGGGAGGTCTTGGCTGCCACAGACCGCACCATGTGGGCCCTGGGCTGCCGCCGGTCCTGGTCCCGCTGGGAGCAGGTGGCGGTGTTGCTGCTGCTGCTCGGGGTGGCCCCGCGAGGCCAGACGCTGCCACCCATCCGCTATTCCCACGCAGGCATCTGCCCCAACGACATGAACCCCAACCTCTGGGTGGATGCACAGAGCACCTGCAAGCGGGAGTGTGAGACGGATCAGGTGAGTGGGGTCCAGGAGCCCAGAGGGACCCTGTGAGGGTGTGAGGGAGGGGGCGGCAGCTGTGACGTGCTGGCGACTCGGGGGTGCCCTCAGGGCCCAGGAACTCGAAGGAGCATGGGCCCTGTCCACCTGGAGAGAGGCAGGGCACAAGGCCTGCCTGTGAACTCCGGGGCCTGGAAGAAGAGGCGGAGTGATGGCCAAGTTCATCAGGAGTGGGAGTCCGAGGATTCCTCCTGTGTGTTGGCCAGGGTTGCGACGGGCCAGACTGTGCCGGGCATGCAGTGAGGACTGATTGGCATGGCACGTCGGCACAGTGGGCATCGGCCTGTTCATAGGTGAGCGTGTGGACTCACAGGGTGGTGCCGGGAGGACACAGGTGCCATGGCTGGTGGGGGAAGAGAGGGCTTGGAGCTCATGTCTGACAACAAAGCTGAGGTCTCCTTGACCTCTGGGCCGCCTCCGCAGGCATCGGGACCCTGACTCCGAGAGCTGACTAGGCTGACGGCAGGCCAGGCAGGAACAGCTCTGAAAGGATGCTTGGGCGCCTCTGGGAGGAAGGGGACCAACATTCAGCCTCCCAGATTCCTCGGTCCTGCCTTCTGCTCCCCACGAGAGGACACTGCAGCAGGGCAGGGCCGGTCCCTGGGCACCTCCCTTTCAGCTCCTGAGACATTCCTGAGGGCCTTTCCTGTCCTCGCTCCCTCCAGGCCTGCGAGACCCGCACCTACCTGCTCCAGGCAGAGCCACTTCCTGCCCGGCCTGGCCAGCTCCCAGGGCAGCACAGAGTCTTCTGGGGCTCTGGGTGTCCCCAGGGAGCACGAGAGGCCCTGGTGCTCCTTCAGCTGTCTGGTTAACCACAGGAGAGCACAGGGCTGCCCTGGCGACAGCGGCCTCTGCCTCACAGTGCCCAGGGGGCAATTCTCAGGCCAGACGCTGCCCGTGGGCAGTGGCGATGCTGAGGGAAAGGGAGATCAGAAGTGGGGAGGAGCGGCGGCTGTACTCTTCCAGCTGGGGTCGGGCCATTCGCTGCCTACGTTTGCAGGGAAGCCTGTTCCCCTGGCACGGGTTGGCCTGATGCATCAGGTGGGGCTTGGGGAAAGACTCTGGCTGACATTGTGTGACTGGGGAGAAGGCACCTGTGTGGGGCTAGGGATTCCGACAGCCTACGGGAGATGTGTTGGCTCCTTAAGCAAAAGTGAGCGAAAATCCCTCTGGGTTTCCTGTGCCCAGAAACACCTTCTCCCCACCCCCTAGGATCCAGCCTTTCTTGACCCTCTAGGGACCTGCAGGAGCTTCCTGGGCCAAGTGCTCCACACCCCCTCCTGACCTCAGGTCCCGTGGGGTCTCTCTCTCCCTCAGACTCCAGCTCTGAGAGCTGCCCATCCTGTCCCAAAGCCTCACTTGGTGTGGCCTGGGGGCTGATGCCGAACGAGGGCTGCAAAACAAAGTCCCCATTCTGAGCCGAAAGGGGCTGAACAGTAAACAAGTCAAGCAGGCAGCTCCACGCAGCCTGGGGGGGGCGTTCTCCCCCTCTTAGCTGATGAGGAATGTCAAAGAGACTGAAATAAACGTTGGAATGACAAGAGGCCAGCCCTGGCGGGAAGCAATTCACGGAGTTACTACCTGGTGGAGGATTAGGAACGCCGCCTGCCTGCCCAGTGGGTGCGACGTGTTATTGTCGAACACACCACGTGAAGCCCTTGTTCTGTTGGCTCCAGGAGCACGCTGCTAATTTCGAGGAATTAAACTTATGCCTTACGTGGCTCCACACAAAATCAGAAGGGATTACGGCCTGGCAAGTCCCCGCTGACCTTTGCCACACAAGGGGACTTTTTTTCTTGCTGCTTTTCCCATGAAATGTCCCACCCGGCGCTGAGCACCTGGGTCCAGTACAGCCCATGGCCATGAGACCTGGTGACCTGGGCCTGACACACTGGCCCTTACTCCTGGCCCTGGGTGCATCTGGGCCCTCTCAGAGCCCCTGTCCCTGATGTGTATTGGTTTCCTTGCAGGGAGGAGAAGTAGGGACAGCCTCAAACAGTTGTCCCAGAGGGTTGGCCTCTCAGCATCTGGTGTGGCCTCTTCAAGTCAGCAGAACATCCTCACCCCAATGGAAAAAAGACAAGGCTGGATGCAGTGGCTCCCTCCTGTCATCCCAGCACTTTGGGAGGTTGGGGCAGGGGGACTGTTTGAGGCCAAGAGGTCAAGACCAGCTTGGGAAACGTGGCAACACCTTGTCTATACAAAAAAAAATCAATCAATTAGCTGGGTGTGGTGGTGCATACCTATAGTCCCAGCTACTCTGGAGGCTGAGGCGCAAGGATTGCCTGAGCCCAGGAGACTGAGGCTGTAGGGAGCTATGAATGTACCACTGCTCTCCAGTCAGAGTGACAGAATGAGACCCCAACTCAAGAAAAAGAAAAAAGACAGAAAAGCAGCCTCACGGGTTCAAACTAGACCTCATTTGTGGTAACTGTATGATGTAGAAGAAAAAACACCAGGCCAGGCACAGTGGCTCAAGTCTGTAATCCCAGCACTTTGGGAGGCCAAGTCGAGAGGATTGCCTAAGCCCAGGGGTTCGAGACCAGCCTGGGCAACTTGGCGAGACCTTGTCTCTACAATATATCAAAAAATTAGATGGGTATGGTTCCATAGTTCTAGCTACTTGGAAGGCTGAGGCATAAGGATTGCCTGAGCCCAGCAGGTCAAAGCTGCAGTGCCCGTGAGCATGCCACTGCACTCCAGCCTGGGTGACAGAGTGAGACTCCAACTCAAAAAAAAAAAAAAGAGAGAGAAAAAAATGCTGTTTGGGATCCCACCCTCCAGGGGCTTGGAGCCCTTTTCTGCCACTTCCCGTCTCTGTGAACTTGGGGATCACGTCTCTGAGCCTGAGTTCTCATCTGGAAAATGGTGGTAGGAAAACTTCCCCTCTAAGAGGTCTGGGTCCTCATCTTCCCAGTCTGCTAACCCTGTGTCCTTGGGTCATCATCTCTCTACTTCAGTCATCATCATCTGTAAAGTAGGGATAATGGTTGTACCCACCTTGGGTTGGTGATGCACATAGTAAGTTGACAGAGGTCAGGCTCTTAGATGGGGGCCTGGCACATATGGATACTCTGTATGCATTAGCTGTTACTACTTTTTCTTTTTTTAAAGAGACAGGGTCTTGCTCTGTTGCCCAGGCATGATAATAGCTCACTGCAGAGTGCAACTCCTGTGCTCAAGTGATCCTCCCACCTCGGCCTTCTGAGTAGCTGGGACTGTAGGCACATGCCACCCTGCCCGGCTAATGTTTTAATTTTTTTGTAGAGATGAGATTCACTATGTTGCCCAGGCTGGTCTCAAACTCCTGGCCTCAAGGGATCCTCCTGCCTCAGTCTCCCAAAGTGCTGGGATGACAGGCATGAGCCACCGCACCTGGCTGCATTAGCTGTTATTCTTATCAAGTAGTTTGCTCACACTGGATGGTGAGCACACGTTAGTTCCCCTGCCCACAAACTGTGGGGTAGGGTAGGAGCCCCCTCCTTCCATCAGCTCCCCGCTCAGGTCTCTCTCTCGGGCTCTTCCAGGAGTGTGAGACCTTTGAGAAGTGCTGTCCCAATGTGTGTGGGACCAAGAGCTGCGTGGCGGCCCGCTACATGGACGTGAACGGGAAGAAGGGCCCGGTGGGCATGCCCAAGGAAGCCACGTGTGACCACTTCATGTGTCTGCAGCAGGGCTCCGAGTGCGACATCTGGGACGGCCAGCCCGTGTGTAAGTGCAAGGACCGCTGTGAGAAGGAGCCCAGCTTCACCTGCGCCTCTGACGGCCTCACCTACTACAACCGCTGCTACATGGACGCCGAGGCCTGCTCCAAGGGCATCACGCTGGCCGTGGTCACCTGCCGCTACCACTTCACCTGGCCCAACACCAGCCCCCCGCCGCCTGAGACCACCGTGCGCCCCACCACGGCCTCCCCGGAGACCCCCGGGCTGGATGTGGCGGCCCCGGCCCTGCTCAACCACCCCGCGCACCAGTCAGTGACCGTGGGTGAGACGGTGAGCTTCCTCTGCGACGTGACCGGCCGGCCGCGGCCTGAGATCACCTGGGAGAAGCAACTGGAGGACCGGGAGAACGTGGTCATGCGGCCCAACCACGTGCGTGGCAACGTGGTGGTCACCAACATCGCCCAGCTGGTCATCTACAATGCCCAGCCCCAGGATGCCGGCATCTATACCTGCACGGCCCGGAACGCCGCCGGGGTCCTGAGGGTCGACTTCCCGCTGTCGGTGGTCCGGGGGGGCCAGGCCGTGGTCACCTCGGAGAACAGCCCCAACAGCACGGCCTTCCCGGCGGCCGAGTGCCTGAAGGCCCCCGACAGCGAGGACTGTGGCGAGGAGCAGACCCGCTGGCACTTCGACGCCCAGGCCAACAACTGCCTCACCTTCACCTTCGGCCACTGCCACCGCAACCTCAACCACTTCGAGACCTACGAGGCCTGCGTGCTGGCCTGCATGAGTGGGCCGCTGGCCACGTGCAGCCTGCCCGCCCTGCAGGGCCCCTGCAAGGCCTATGCGCCCCGCTGGGCCTACAACAGCCAGACCGGCCAGTGCCAGTCCTTCGTCTACGGCGGCTGCGAGGGCAACGGCAACAACTTCGAGAGCCGCGAGGCCTGCGAGGAGTCGTGCCCCTTCCCTCGCGGGAACCAGCGCTGCCGGGCCTGCAAGCCGCGGCAGAAGCTCGTCACCAGCTTCTGCCGGAGCGACTTTGTCATCCTGGGCCGGGTGTCTGAGTTGACCGAGGAGCCCGACTCGGGCCGCGCCCTGGTGACGGTGGACGAGGTCCTGAAGGACGAGAAGATGGGCCTCAAGTTCCTGGGCCGGGAGCCGCTGGAGGTGACGCTGCTGCACGTGGACTGGGCCTGCCCCTGCCCCAACGTGACGGCGGGGGACACCCCACTCATCCTCATGGGGGAGGTGGACGGCGGTATGGCCGTGCTGCGCCCCGACAGCTTCGTGGGCGCGTCCAGCGCCCGGCGGGTCCGGAAGCTCCGTGAGGTCGTGCACAAGAAGACCTGCGACGTCCTCAAGGAGCTCCTGGGCTTACACTGAAGCCCCCGCCCCCACCTCCGCAGTCCCTCCCTGACCCCTCCCCGGCCCCCTCTGCCTACCCACCCTCCGGTGCCCCTCAGTCAGCCCACTGGGCAAGGTCAGATTAGACAGTCTTGGGCCAGCAGGGGGACGTCCATCAGCATGTTGGAAAGAAAGCCAGCAGGGGGTCTCAGACTGGCTTCTGTTCTGTGGCTTCAATAAGGGCTCCGTGTCTCTTTCAGCTGAGGGGGATTCGAGGAGAAGCCAGCGGCCCCGTGTGAGTCACCCCCGATGACCAGCCTGCTCGGGTTTTCTCCCCCTTTGCTGGCGCCTCCTCTGGCCCTCCCAAGCCGCCTGCCCCCAGCCAGGGTCCCAGCGATGGCTGCAGCCTGCTGGTCACAGGCAGTCTGAGGGACTGGCTTGCCAAAGGGGCAGTGCGAGAGAGAGAGGAGGGCCCCAGGCTCACGGGACACACACCCCACTGCCCCTAGAACAGGGTCAGCAGAGGCCACTTGCTGGTGGGGTTGCTGGCGGTGGGAGGCCAGGGGCAGAGTCCAGCCTGCTGCAGGGACGGGGGCCTTCCGGGGTGGACAGCCTGTCTCTGAGGCCACCGTGGCACTAGCAGAACACACGTTTCCTCCCCTTGGCTGACTGGTTTGTTGATTCAGTTCTGCTTAGTTAAGCTCAGTGGACACACTCTGCCCGCTTGCTGGGTGCTGGGACCACAGAGACATGTGTCGCTGGTCATGGTGCCCAAGGCAAATGCGCCCATCCCGAGGTCCCTGCAGCAGAGCATGGCTGGCCTCCCAGTGGGCGGGCGTCCCCAGCAGATGGACGAGGCGCGCGCATGTGCCACTGTCTTCCTCGGACACGAAGCAGATAGACGCTCCGGCCTCTGTTTTGGGAGCAAGAGAACACAGGAAGAGAAAAAGCAGGAGGGGAGGAGGCTGTGGAGGAAGGAAGAAGGGAAAGGCAGACTCCAGAAGGAAAGGAACGTTGCTCAATGCTCCCACCTGGCGGTGGCCGCGGGAGCCTGCAGGGACCTGAGGGAGGCTCTAGGTGAGGCCAGAGGGAGGCTTCTGGGACGCAGCGGCTCGTGGGTGAGTTTTTGCGTTTCCAGCCGTCCTGTGTGGGCCTGGCCACCCGCCGCGAGACGGAGGATTTGGGAGCCCCAGTGTCAGCTCTGCACCTGCCCCCACTCCCTCCTCAGCCCCGTTATTCTGTCCCTGCCCTTCCAAGGCTGAAGAAGGTCATCGAGGGGCACCCTGTTTCTTCCTCAAATATAGGGAGGAAGACCCCAATTAAAAGCGCCCAGTATCAACAACCCTTCTGGTCTGTTTCATTTGGGCTGACGAGGAGAGGAGGGGCAGTGTCACTTGCTTTGGTGAACTTACAGGAGGGTATCTGATCCATGGGACCCTCTTGGGCTGACTGAGGAACATGGCTAATACTCGGGTCCATTCTGTGTCTCCAAGGCTCCTGACCTGGTGCTCAGTGCAGCTCTGTGGTTAGGCACAAGACAGCTGAGGCCAGGGGAAGGTGACTTGCCAAGACACAGAGGCAGAAAGGGGCGGGGCCCAGGCCCAGGTGTCTTGACTTGTAATCTGGACACTCCCACCCCATCATGACTGTGCAGGGGTCAGGTGGCGTGGAATTCAGAGGCTAGAGGGTAGAGGAGACAGGAGTGGACAGAAGGGGGCATACTGCCAGCTGGGACTTCCCAGGGGCATCTGGGGGAGGCCTACTCCCAGGAGAACTCTGCGTCACAGGCCTGGGTGTGTTCAGAGCACGGGGCTCGCTTCCAACGATGGGGACTGAGGCACCTTTGGCCCCAGGGAGGTCCATGGCTGCTCCCCACCCCTGGGGCCTGCAGCTATGGCATGCCCAGTGGTTTGTCTGTCTCCAAGAGACACCGCTCCCCTGCATACTTGCCCAGGGTTTCCTGGGCCCCAGCCCAAAGGTGGAATCCAGGCCAGGCCCCGCCCGGCTCATTTCATCAGCAATAAGGGCAGGAGGAGGGGGCTGGGAGCGGGAAGCTGGGCTGCTCCCTGAATGAGAGCAGAGGCTGGGGAATGGGTATTCCTCGAGTCACCATTGGGAGAACACCGGGCGCAAAACCCAGCCACTGAGCTGGTGTGGGCAGCAGCCACAGTCCCTCCCTGCTCGGATCAGGTGTGTGGGGGGTAGGAACTGCCTCTCCACCTCCCTCAGAAGTCTGGGGACATCCCACTGCACCTGCTTCGAGCCCAAGGTCCAGGACATCACTGTAAAGGCTGAGAGGCCAGTGTCCACACGCCAGCACCTGTCACCTCCCCCTTACTCCATCTGTACAAGCATGGGGCCTGAGCCCTGCGGTAGGGACATCAGGGGCCCAGGTCACACTTCTGCTTGCCTGGGGGGGGTGCGAGGCTCAGGGCTCCCACCTCAGGGCTCCCTCTCACCAGACCATGGGCCACCCACGGGCCCAGCCCCGGGGTCCCTGTCACACACCAGCCTCAACCTGGCAGAATGACAACGCCCGCTGTGGAGTCAGGCCCGCCTGGGCCTCACTCTGGGGCTGGCAACTCATGTGTTATCTCTGGGCCTCAGTGTTCTCATCTGTAAATTAGAGGGTGCTAAGATTACTTGACAGAGACACGGGACTCTCAGCCCTGCTCACCACTAACCTTGTAAAGTTGGGAAGCTTAGGAAGACACGCCTGGCACAGATGGGACTTCCCTCAGCAGCTACTTAGCCAAGAACAGGCACCCTGATCTTAAAGCCCTGCCCTTGTCCTCCTGGGCTTTGGATTTAACAGTTCAAGGGTGTTTCGGCCTCAAATGTCTTATTCTGTTGCTCACAGAGTATATCCAGACCAGGCTGACTTGGGTTTCAGAAAATATGGGCACGTAGGGAGTCGGTGGCTTAGAATAACTTCCAATCTGATACATGGCCTTTGTTCTTCTGTCCTCAAACCCAAGCCTAAGTCTTTTACCTCCGTGACCCGGGCCAATGCCTGGCATCTAATAGGTGCTCAGTAAAGGTGGGACGGGGTCCCCAGAGCCTGGCTGCCAGCCAACTGGGGAGGTCACCTCCTCAGTCAAATCAGGGAGCTGCGGCCCCAGCCTGGTCACCGGACACAGAGAGATTGAGGCCTCCTTCCCAAGGTCAGGGCTCCTGCTTCCCTATCTACACTGTACACTCACTCCTCCCCTTCCAGCATCCACTGGGCTCTCCTACCCCCGCTGATCCATCTCTCTGTTGACCTCTCTGGAGATCTGTTGCCATGCAAGCTGTCTCTGGACCAGCCCCCAGGGCCTCTGGGGCAGGGTAGCTTGGCTTTTTCCACCCTCCGCCTCCCCCCACCTCCAGCCTCCTAGGATACATGGCTCCATGGATCCATTGTCTGGCCAGCTGCTCTGTAGTCTGATGTCACCCCCGACAGTGGGGCCAGGGAGTAGGGCTCAGGATGTAATCCAAGCAGGGAAGAGGGAGAACAGAGACCCAGCCCTTGGGGGTGTCCTTAGACCATGGAGAACCCCTCGGCCCAACTGTCCTGTTGAACCACCTCCACATGAGTGAGTGCTCACGACATGGCAGGCACTGGACACCAGTTCTCATCACCTCCGTCGCAGCTGGACAGCACAGAAGGCTATTTTATAGGGAGGAAAACTAGAGGGACAAGAAACTTGCCTAAGCTGATGGGTGGCAGAGCCAGGACCTGAATCCTGCCGGTCTGAAGTCAGAGCTCTTCATGCTCGTGTTATGCTGTTTCTCGTAGTGTGTGCAACACACACACACACACACACACACACACACACACACACACGCTCTGGTCTGGGCAGTGCCGAGTCCCTTCAGGACCCTGAATATCTCCAAAGAGCCTGCCTCCAGCCAGCAAAGCACACACCCCAGGCTGTTTACGACCTCGCCATGTGACATGTGTTTCTACCATACACACAAGCAGTCGCGGCCTAGATTCCTGAGCGAGACATCAGCCCTCTGCCTACTCATCCTACAAGACTCAGCTCCTTGGGGAGGCCTCCACTGTCCCCCGAGCTGTGTGAACACTGCTCTCTGAGTCCGCCTTCCTCTCTGCTTGCACTGATCCAGATCAGAACAAAAATAGTTGCCTGGGGGCTCCAGGAAGGCTGTGGGCCCGAGGGTCCTGGGAGCGGAGACCACCAGCTGATACTCTGCTGAACAGCCTCAAGGCGGTGAAGGGGCCTCTCTGGGGTCTTCCCGCCTTTTCCCAGCACCACCTCCTGGTAACCACTCCTCCTCCTCTTCCTCCCACCTCCCAAGGAGCCTGAAGTCTCCCTCCTCCTCTGGGGAATGCATGATTAATGCAGGCAGGATGGGTGACAGGGTTCCTGGGTCCTATTCTTGGCTGTGGCCTCATTCTGGAATGTGCCCTGAGGTCAGGTGATGCTCCTCTCTCAGGCTGTGTCAGGAGGAAGGAGGAACAAACCTCCAGCTGGCATTCTCCCGAGGAGAGGGCCGGGCAGGCAGGTGGGCAAGCCCACCATGCCCCCACCTCGCCTCACAGGCTTCTGAGCCCCTCAGCTCTTCTATTTCAGGGTCGGGTTGGAGTCTCTGTGTCCCCATACCAAATTACCCCAGGACACAGAACTCTGGCATCCAGTCCTCCAGCAACACCATGGTCCCTCAACCCCACTCAGGACTCGGCCCACACACTTCTTAGACCGGACTCCCCCCGCCAGGTGAGGTCTCTTCCCCGCGTGTGTCAGGGGCAAGGGGGCACTTGGGTGTCTTTCGCCCTTTCAGGTCTGAGGAAACCGCCAGAGACCTGACAAGATGAAGATGTCCCCCTCCTGAGGGTGTGTCGTCAGTTTTTGTGTGAGGGACACATACAATTCTGTCCATAATCTAAGAGGGGGCGGAGGATGGTGACTCCTTGTCTCCTTTCTGTGTGGACTGCCAGGAAGGGATGAGGGGGTCTGCGATGTTCTCAGGACACTCAGCAGGAGAGGACCACAGTGCCAGAAGAGGGAACGAACATTTGAGGGCTAAAGGCTCTGAATCAGGCATTTCACCCAACCATCCAGCACAATCCTCGTGACGCTCTTGAAGCTGAATAGTATTCCACATTTTGGTTGATGCCACCTGAGGCTGCAACCTTCAGGAGGGCAAAGACCAAATCTGCTTGCTTACCTCTATACCAAACCCAAGCCTGCCCACAGAGGATGTTCAACAAATATTTGTGGAATGAATGAATGAATGAGTGAAGCAAACCCTGTAGACCTCATGGAGGAAGAGACGGCCTCATGAGTATTATTTTCCCTATTTAACAGATGCTGAATCTGAGACTCTAA